CGGAGCTCTTGGACTGCCTGTAGTAAAGATTCCTTTTTGGACTGGCTAAGATGGAATACAACCCAGAAGATCAGACAGGACTTATCCAACTCCTACCTCCAGTACTACAAAATTTATATCCTATTCACCTTCTATCTTTCCTTAATACATTTCCTATACTAATCATTTTGAATAATTTTCCCAGTATGTTTTGGGTTATTTCAAAATATAATCCGTTCCAGGCTTCTAACAATTTGACTTGTAACCTGTGTTCTTACATCACAGATGGCCCTGCAGCCCAGCAGTTAAATGCTCTGTATAAAAAGCTGGATCCTATATATCCAACTGAAGTTCACTGGCCCCAGTGGCTTGAAAAACCTGCTAGCCACCTGTGCCCGTATGCCCAGAATCCTGACAGGCGGGAGAAATGAAGGAACAAGGATTTCTATTTGACCATATCTCATTGAGGAAGGTTTCTTTCTCTTCTTCCTCTTTCTCTTTTCTTTTCTTTTTCTTTTCTTTCTCTTTCTCTCTATCTCTGATGCCACACACTCTCTAACAATTTTTTAAAAAGACCTTAAACACTAATAGAAAATCAAAACCTACATTTGAGCATCATCTAGATTGTTTTGTGTTAGGTAATGCATTCAATGCTATTAGAAAAATGATGATGGGGTTTATGAAATGACAGTGCAATAAAGTAAAGACATTGATTTTTATCTCTTTAGATTTTAAAGAATACTAACATAAGGCAGCAAATGAAAGAAAAATCGTAACTTACTTTATCAAAAGGGAACTGGTTGTCTTATCTTAATTACAGCTCTTATGATGAAGCCACTCAAATTACCTTGGAGACAAAGAAAACAAAGAAGTGGGAGGAAAATGACAAGGAGGTGAAAATGCAGTAGACAGTTACTAAGCTGTTTCATGAACTCTAAAGAAAGACATATATCCAAACTCAGGAACTGAATCTGGCTATTACTAATTTTATTTTTAGGAACTTTATTTCTCCCTGTTTTCCTGGGTCTTGAAAAATTGTAGTCTCTGCTCTTTATTCTATGTTTATTCATATATCCCCTTTCTCTAAAACCAGCTTCCTCTTCATTCACAAGGGGACTAACAGAGGCTAGCTAGACTTTGAAACATTCCTGAAGATCCTAAGAGAGGATGATCTAGTGACTCCATCCTGGATTGCGTTCCCAGCTCTCTGGCACCCTAAACAATGACCAGATACATTTTAATAGCATAAATATGACCAAAGGTGGTCTACCCCTATGGTATAAGAAGGAAATTCTCAAAAAATAAAATAAATCAAGGATTAAACAAACGTCACAGAAATATTCCATATTAGAACAACATCACCTTTCAAGGGAAAATTACAAATACCCATGATAGTGATCCTTCACTCATGGTGGTTCTAATTGAGACCTCCTTCCAGAAAGTGATTTGGTCACCAGTGAGAGGTCACCATGTAAGGTGAGGAAACATCTTCTTGTGTCTTGATTATGGCTAATTTTGATGTCATTGACACCTGTTTTACTTCTATGATAAAATTTAGTGAATTCTGTAGTATCATTAGGAATTTATTAGGCAAGGTTCTTCAGAGAAAGAGAAACAACAGGACAGATAGTTAATGGATTGATAAATAGATGAAAGATTGATTGTAAGGAATTGCTTTATAAAGGCTGGCAGGGGGTCAAATCCAAAATCTGTAGAATAAGTTGGCAGGCTGTTGAATTCAGGTAGGAGTTAGTGTTATAATCCTGAGTCCAAAGGCTGGAAGCTCAAGCAGAATTTCTATGATGCAGAGCAGAAAACATTCTTTCTAAGGAAATCTTAGCCTTTTTTCTTAAGGACTTCAAGTTATTTGATAAAGGCCACTACATTATGGAGGATAATCTGCTTTACTTAAAGTTAGCTGATTATAATATGAATCAACATCTTTAAAATTACTTGGGTCCAGCAGATGGCATGGAGGTTAAGCCGCTGGATCCCGCATGGCTGGATGCGCGGTTCAAGTCCCAGACCCAGCGGCTTGAAAAACTTGCCAGGTGTATGTGCATGTGTGCCCTAAATCCCAAGAGGACAGTGGAGAGGAGACTGCAGCATGGCTATCCCTCCTGGAGGTTGCTTTCTCACTCCCTCCCCAACACACCAGTCTGTCTGTCTCTATCTGGAAACAACATGTGCCTTTTAGCAAAAACAAAACCCAAACCAAAGCAAAACAAGACAAAATAAACAAAAAGCACCTTTATAGCGAAATCTGGATGAAAGGTTCATCAAACAACTGTTCATTATGGTCTAGTCAAGATGGCACATGAATTTAATTATCACATCCACTAAACCACCTTGTTTTCTAAATTAATATTGATCTACAAACTGAAGTTCTTTGAGAATAATCGGTATTGTTTTTTAATCTTCCTGTGATTATATTTTCTAATCTCTGAGTTTTTTTTTAAAATATATGTGTTGTATTTAAGAACAATGACTCTGACAGAAATAAATTTGTATGTTTTTATAATTCTTTAAACAATTTCAAGTGCTGTATTGCATCATTTGCAAACTACTCTTAGGTTCTTGCAATATGTGATTGGCATTATTATAAATATATGAAAATGGTTTTAAAAAGGAAAGATGTTCTAGGATTGCATTGCAATAAATCTAATAATTATTTTTCATTGTTACTAATAGCCGAGTCAAAAAAAAGAGAGGGAAAGCATCTTGAGCTGCAGGGAGTTTTGAGTGTAAATTAGAGAATGGGAAAATATATTCAAAGTGTTAAGAGAAAAGCAATTTTAGCCAATAATACTGTACCCAGCAAGATTATCTTTCTCTTTCATGTGGGAAGAAAAGACAAGAACATTCTCAGATAAACAAAACCTGAAAGAATTTACCAGCACCAGACCAGATCTCCAAGAAGTTCTCAAGGGTGTGCTATATCAGGAAAATTAAATACAGACACACGGAAAGAAGAGTTCAAAAAATAAGAAAGCAGCCAGTTTAATCATAGGGACAAGTCTGGAGTTGAATATTATATCCCAGAATTTAATAGGAAAAATGGAACCAGAACAGAAGATAAAGTACATGAGACTGATAGGTTCATGCACCTACCATTTGAACAGAATCCTAACCTGCTAAGTTCCTTAGCATTTCTATAATTTAAGTTAAAACTGGTTTTCTTAATACTACCATATGAACTTACCATTGAAAGTAGTTAGATTATTTAAGAAATTGTGCGATCAATACAATGTGGGTGGAAAAGGAATAGAAGACAACTGTAGTCACCAGAGACATAGGGAGAAGAGGGTGGGAAAGGACAGAGGGTCAGAAAGAGGGGTAAAAAATTCTAGGATGTATAAATGGAAAATTTTGGATAATAATATGCATGATTAAGTCACTATGCATTATATTCTTGATGGGAAGTCACATTTTGTATGCTGTGATGATGCTTAGGTAAAGAATGTAAATTAAGTTACAAAAAAAGGAAAAGTTTCAGAAAAAGAAAATCCATTCGATGACTGCAGTTAAGATATATAGCCCCAGCTAGGTGCTACTTTATAGGATGCCTAAAGTTAGACTTGTGTTCATGGAAATGTATATATCTGCTGTGTTTGCTATGAAAATATTTAGATTAATTAAGATCTTTAGTAATTCAATTAAAAAATGGGGGAAAAACAGTATAGAAAGTAAACATAGATACCAGAGACAGTGTGGGAAGAGAGAGGGAGATGGCTGAGGGTAAGAGATAGGGAATCAAGGATGGGGGGAAAAAAGCAAAACATACAGGAAACAAGAAATGGAAAATTATTTTTTTACAATAACATGTATGTTGATGTGCTTGATTGAGACAATATACAGTGTACTCTGGATGGAAAATCTCATTTTGTATGCTATAATGATGTACAGTGAATGAACGTAAACAAATTTAAATTAAAAAACCTAATGTAAGCCAAATATTAATGACAGTGAGATTGCATGAGAAAAGTGAACGGTCACAGATCTGCAACTATTTAAGAAATGCTAAAACTATTGTAGAAAAATTAAGGATATCAGCAAGCTTGCAAAGCAGACTGACAGAGTAACTGAGAAATAAAGGGAATTTAAAACTAAAATTCAGGGTTGAGTAGGAAATTGCAGATTCATGTTGTCTAACTATATTGCAAAAGTCAAAGCTTAAGCAAGAGCTAGGTTTCAAAAACTGAACGTTCAAGTATAATCTCCTGCAAATTATTTAATCCCACTTTTAAATGATCCTTTTAAAATGTTTTATATCTGGCAATGTTGGGTGAGGTTCTGATGTTGAAAAATTGGGTATTGGGTCCCAAATTTGAATGGGTAATCACAAATCCACTATCCCAAATCCACTTTTTATTAAGTACATGAAATGTTATTATCTGTAAAATGGAATTCCTTCAGACTTGTTAAAGGGAGTGAATAAAGTATCATGAAGTTCTCAAGTCTAGGTTACCTGTCGTTGCCTAGACAGACAGACTTCTCTGTGTTGCCTCCATTATGAACGCATGCTGCCCACGAACACATCTTCACATCTGCTGAGCTCTATAAAGAGTGAGGGCACGTGCGTTCACAAGTAAATTCTGGGGCTGAGATGCCAAAAGACTATTTATCAAAAATACCCAAAGTTTTCTAAAAATACTTCTGTTGACAGTTTTTAATTGCAGTATATTCATATGAAATTTTTGGCAACATTTTCTGGTAGTTCCTACTCTATGCTCTAACATAAGGCAAAAAAGAAAAAAATATTTTTTATTCTTATGTTTAGATTGGGAGATCATGCTTTCTGAACAAAAAACCATGTTGCATGTTTAATATACTATGAACACAGAGTACACATGAGTAGAGTTTGCTATACTAATCAAATAAAAGACATAAAACGTTAATGAAACATTTAATGGTCTCCATAATCATGATTGTATGGCATAGTAATTAGGTATAAAATTGTAAGCAACTCACATGAAAGTCAATAATCATGATGCTTCTTTGTGACAGTTTGAATTCGTATGGTGCCTGGACAGCGCCTTTTCACAGTGACATGATGAGCATCTACTCAAGCAGTAGACTGAGAGTTCTGGCCATTCAGCTGAGAAAAGCAGTTTCTAGTCTAGATCAATTGAGAGAAAGGACGGTTATTCAAGAAAAAGCATAAGAGAAGTATTTTTACAATGCATTGATCTGTATGAATAAAAGTACTGGAATGGAAAATACACTGTCATAAATTTCTTTTGTTTTTTAAACTAGTATTTAAATACCATATTTTGGTTATTTTTCAGAATATAAATAAAACTATTTTAACACTTTCCCCCATCACTACGTGTTGTTGAATTTCTCTATCTCTCTTTCTCTCTCACACAACATGCCTTATGTGTAAGACTCTCCTCCATGTTCAGGTCTCATTAGTTGCCTTTGATTAGAGTATCAATCCAATATGTTACCAACTCTCTGTTGTTCCAATTGCTTAAGAAGGGGAGGCAAAGGGCAGGCTGTGCCCCAGGAACAGTGTGGTTGCCTGAGCAATGAACCATTCTAATAGAATCAGCATGTTAAGTAGGGAGGAGTCTGTTGAAGTAAAGGATGAAATTTCAAGGCAAGAGTCAAGTGTGAGGCTCAGAGGAAAAAGAGACAAGGCCCACAAAAGGCTCTAGGGACAGATCATGCAGGAAGAAGCACTGGAGGAGGTTTTCATGTCACTGAACTAACATACAGATCCTGGGGCAGTTAGATCGAAGTTGCTGGTGATGCCAACATCTGTGTCTCTCTGAATTAAAGATCTGATAATGAGAAGCAGTGTCAGAGATTGGGATGAACATCTTGGAGCACTGATTGCCCCTCCTTCCTGTGCCACTCACTCAGCTCCTGAAACCACGAAGGCAAGCTTCCCTTAGGAAATATCTCTCCTTTTCCTCAGAGCTTTATTTAGGAAAAGAAGGAAATAAATGTTGCTCAGGTTGGGGTCAGCCCACAATTCTGGAGCAAGGCCAGAAGCTGCAGCATTTGCAGTCTTCCTGGAGGTCAATTGGAAGACAGTGTTCCTGCTTCCTTCTGATGACCACTTACGTGGCTCTTTCCAACATTCTGGTCTTTGTGTTCTTACCCTCCCAAGAATCAGCTAAAGGACTTAGGCAAGGAAGGGGTGATTTAAATAAAGTGGTTATCGGGCAAGGACTTGGAGGAATAAGAGTATCCTCCTTACTACACTATTTACCTTTGACCATTCTCATTCTAGTGACCCCCATCTTCTATTTAAGAAGATGACTAGAGGGACCAGCAGATAGCGTAACGGTTATGTCACTTGCCTCCCATATAGTTGACTGTGGTTCGAGTCCTGGACCCGGTGGCTTAAAACACACACTGGGGGGAACCAGCAGTTAGCGTAATGGCTATGTCACTGGACTCCCACGTAGTCGACCGAGGTTTGTGTCCCGGACCCGGTGGCTTAAAACTCATGCTGGGCGCATGTGCATGCGTGCCCAAGATCCCGAGAGGAGAATGGAGGAGAAGGGATTGCGGCGTGACCATCCCCCCTGGGGGGTGATTTCTCGCTTTCTGTCTCTATGTCTCTCTCTGTCTGTCTGGCGAGCGCACGCGCCCTACAGTGAAAATCTCTCAAAAAAAAAAACAAACAAACAAAAAAAACACACACACTGGTGCATGTATGTATGTATGCATGCCCAAAATCCCATGAGGAAAATGGAGGAAAAGGAATTGCAGCATGGCCATCCCCTCCCCTCCCCCCCCGGGGGTGATTTCTTGTTTTCTGTCTCTCTGGTGAGCACTTGCACTCCATAGCAGAAATCTCTCTCATAAATAAATAAATAAATAAATAAGAGATGATGACGATGACTAGAAGTAAAATGGAAAGCTTTTATTTCCTGATTTGTGCCAGCTCTGTGGAGGTGAGCAGGAACTGGTGGAAGCCCCTACTTGTGCATAAAACTAGCACACAGCAGTGGTAAAATAAAACAAAGATCAAAACACAAAAACAAAAACTTTCTCAGAGGCAGGAACCCTCGGTGTGATTTCTCATTGTACACATGGGAAGTTGGAATGGCTAGGAAACCTTAGATGTCCTGCTCCAAGTCTTCTCCCCATTGGGTTAATCTGGTCTTACCTACACTCTCTGGAAAACGCTGGCTCGTTCTCTTGCCCTCAGTGTGGGTCTGGCCTCCCACCATCTTCTTCTCCTGAGCCATTGCCCCTTCAGCAGCATGCTCTGCACTCAGCTCATGTCTCCTTTTCCTCAGAGCTTTATTTAGGAAAAGGAGGAAATGAATGTTGCAATTTCCTAATTAGGTTTATAATCCTGATGATTTAACTCACTTTACAAAGTACTTGTTAAAAAATATAAGGTAACAACAAGCCAAATTGGATTCCCTTGCATAGAGTATTAACTGTATTGGAAGAAAACAGAGGCTTCTAGCTGCTCCCTGTTCAGGGGCCCAGGGTTGGAGAGCTAAACTGCCCAATTTACGACCCTTTCATCATCACTCTGTGCAAATCCCTATCTAAGTTTAATTTTTCTTTCATCCCAGAACCCACTTTCATTTACCATCTCCCCAGTCAACATATACACTCTTTTTTTTTTTTTTTTTTTGAGAGGTTTTCACTATAGGGCGTGTGTGCTCGCCAGACAGAGAGAGACATAGAGACAGAAAGTGAAAAATCATCCCCCAGGGGGGATGGTCATGCCACAATCCCTTCTCCTCCATTCTCCTCCCGGGATCTTGGGCACGCACGCACACGCGCCCGGCGTGAGTTCTAAGTCACCAGGTCTGGGACGTGAACTGTGGTTGACTATGTGGGAGTCCAGCGACATAGCCATTATGCTAACTGCTGGTTCCCAACATATACACTCTTTATGTTTTGCTCTCTATCTCTGGATATACATGTATCTTAGAAGTTTTTCACCTAGTACTGTTTTATGTAACTAATTTAAATTTACATAAAGTAGATTGTAATAGAAATCTGATTTTCTTCCCTTTTGTTTAAACTCAATGACTATATATGTAAGTATTGCCTGAATGGCTGCACCATATTTCAAATGGTTCACAGATTTCTCTATCACATTCTATTTTATTCAATTTTGTATTAAGTTCCCTATCTAGATACTCAAATTGCTTCCAACTCTCTGCTATCAGAAAACAATAACAATAATGAATGCTTACACCATATTTTTGTACTCATTTCTCTGAGGTACAAAATAGGGAGTGAATTTCTTGGCAATAGGGTTCTAGCTAGTGCTATTTCACAAACTCTCAAAATGGCTGCATTAGCCTACGTCCCCATTGGGAATGTCTTGGCAGGCCTGCTGCCAAACACTCTCACCAATATTCAGCATTATCCAACTTTCTAATTTTTGCTGAAACTATATTTGCAAAGTAGATATTCATTATTGTATTTATTTCATCTCTTTTCATAATGAGGTTGAATGTATTTATATGTACTTTGGGTTCCCTCTTCAGTGGCTACAAATATCCCTGTTAAGTTTCTTATATTTTTCATTTACCTATGTTTTAGGTATTCAAAGCTTGAATCACTACATTAGTCTCTCTCTCTCTCTCTCTCTTTCTCTCTCTTTTTCCTGCAAACACTTCCTCCCAATCTGTCAGCTGTCTGTGGACCATTGTACTTTGGCCATTGTACATAGTAATGACATTTTTTTCCTCCTTTTTACTTCTCCAAAATAGTATTACTCATTATGGTTTAACTGAAATATCAAATACACTTTCTTATTAAGCATGTTTTTACTACTCACATATCATGAACTCTTCTATTATTTATTATCGATGCCATCATGTGTCACAATATACTCCTTGAGATAGTGGACGCATATCTATAACATGTATTCAACACTATAGACTGTGTTGACTATAGTCATAGCTTCTATGATTTCATTGTACCTAATAAGATGTTTAGAAAATAGTATTTATTGATCAGATATACTTGCTGAGGTCTTTGAAATGTGATGGCCATCACCCATCATGCATTCTACACTATCAGTACATTTTATCTGGTTATAAAGTCTCAACAAGGTTTTATTATAGTTTCACAATAAATGTGGCAATAAAACCTAATAGCAAAGGCTAAGCAAATGTTCTTGTTAGTAAAGCTTACATGCTTATGTTAAACACATTGGAAAGCTCTTACTCCTATTACATCAAAAGTATTGATTTACCCTGAACTTTTTATTTTGCTTGCTTACAAGCTATTTAACCCAAATTGTCCATAAACATTGCTGTTAATTTTATAGCAAAATGTCTCATAACACAGTGCTACCTACATAAATCATTTCCTGGTTCACATGAGCCAGTGGCCGACAATGGCAGTGTCACCAGTTTCTACGGCGTTTGTGCCCATAGTTACTGCGGGGCCACTTTTCACTCCAGTAGGAGTGCTAACCAGATGATCATCATGTTCGAAAATTGGAGGTGGGTGACATTTTAGTATTGCCCTTTCTGAACTACTAACTAGTGACAGAAAACTCCACACAAAGAGCAAAAACAGAAATGGAATCTATGTAACGCCTCGTTCTTTTTTTTTTAAGTGTAGTTTCTTTTTAAAAATTTTAATTTTAATTTCTTTTATCTTATACATTCAATCACTATATACCACTACCAATTTTCAAACTCCAGGCTCTGAACATAATATTAAGGGTTCAGCAATGAATGTATATGTGGCACTAATATTTGAAAATTTATTTATTTCTTCCATGAGGGAGAAAAAGAGAGAGAGGTATCCTTAATGGGGTCCCATGCCATGATCGACCCCTAGTCCCAGCCAGCCAGGAGAATGGTATGTGTGTGTATATTCCAGGTATGCCAGGGAAGTCCCGGGATGCAAACTCACAATCCTTCCACCTGGTTCTACCACTGCACCACTCCTACCCTTAATGATATGTGGTTCTAGTTCCACTACCACTGCACCACTCCTACCCTTAATGATCTTTTGTGAACCAAGGCCTCACTGTGACTGGGTTTCCGAATTTAAGAACGGAATCATCTAGAATTTGGTTTCATATGAGTATCTTAATGAACAAGTCCCTTTAGAGACCTTTCCTCCAAGTTCTTGGCTAGATAAGTAAGATCAGACTGACTTCAGAC